GTGTGTGTGTGTGTGTGTGTGTGTGTGTGTGTGTGTGTGTGTGTGTGTGCTCCTACATTGTCAAGCTCAAGGGCAGCGACCTTACTCTAGAGAAACTCTCTTCCTCTCCTTCCTTTGTCACATTGCATCTTGTTTATTACATTTCTGGAGAGACTACAATTAAGCATGATGGTATGACAGTAAGACAGGGCTAATATATATAAGTTTAATATTGACAAATGTTGTTTTTACTTTTCACTGCTTTATTTTTGAGTGATTCACTCTAAATTGCAAAATAACGGGCAACGGGTTTCTCCTTGTATAGAACTGCAACTTTACTATCAATTCATCTGCAGATAATTTTTTCAATGAATTGTTTGGTTTATTAAAAAGTAGAAATTGTGAAAATATTTCAGAGCCCCGAGGGATTTTTTCAGGCGTCTCGTTTTCTCCGACAAACATTCCAGAGCTTCATATACAGTTTGGTAGTTTAATCTATGACAATGCTTTAGGTATTAGAAAATGGTTGTAATGTTTTGTATGTCGAATCTTGATCTAAAAAAGTAACTTAAAGTGTTAAATAAAAGTAGTGCAGTACAATATTTTCCTGTGAGATGAAGTGGGGTAGAAGTATAACGTAGTTCAAAATGGTAATAGTCAAGTAAACCGCTACACTTCAACCACTGGTTGATATTTACTACAGGTGTGTTTCCCTCAAACCTATTTTCAATGTGCTCATAAAGACGGCTGGATGAAACGCAGAAATAACTGGAAAAAAGAAAACTTGAAAGCAGAATGCGAGAAAGAGAAATGGGAACACACTTGGCCAATGAATCATGACGTATTTGAAGCATGACAACTAAATGTCCTCGAAAGCTTCCGCTAGCAGTGGACGAAAACATCAGATTTGTGGATGATGAGGTGACGTCACGCCAAATTGATACATGAAATATACATAAATGCTATATATCCATTACGTGCTCTACTTGGTCTTTCTGCCGTTTGAGCTCCTTTAATGACCTCATCTCCTCCCTCCTCTGTTTCAGTGGTTTAATGGCATGTGACTGAGAATTAGCTCCACCAACTCTTAATCTCAATGCTATCTCTGTTAGCATTATGGTAGTGGATAGAAGTGCACATTGATTCACATTTGACTCTTGTTTTATTTGTAGATTTGGTTCAACTTGTGCTTCACATGCTGTGCATAGTACGCTGGGTCGCCATGAGTCCCATGTGTGCTCACTGCATCATGTGATGCATATATGATGTACCACTGCATTGCAGCGGCAGCGCGTTTCAGACTGCACACTGAGCTCTGCGCTCAATGTCTCCTCCTGCTTCCCTCTGACAGATGTGATAAAGCTCCAGCTGGTGGAGGCAGGCCTGGTGGAGTGTCTCCTGGAGGTGGTGGCTCAGACTGTAGACGGAGAGAGGGAGGAGGACATCGCCCAGCTCAAGACTGCCTCAGACCTCATCGTCCTCCTGCTGCTGGGAGGTAAACACCTCGGGGCAACTTGCTTAGGTTGATGTGTTCTGTCATAAAATGTACAGTCAAATGTTTCAGGGACATATTTTAGGATGGAGTGTGATCCAAAAACATTTAAATCCAGTTCTAGAGCATACTGTATGCACAGGCAGCCATATTCAAATCCCCTCTGTGTCTGAAGTTCAAAAGAACCTTGTGTAACAGTCATTACACATTCATACTTACTTTGAACTCCTTACTGTTGCAGGATGGATACAAGGTCACCATCATCCCCTCAGTGACTACACTATGGACAGAAAATATAACCTACACAATATAGATGCACACAGTCTTCTGCCCAACACCCATCTTAAGTATTAATAATTCAACCTTTATGTAAATATTTGATAGCAGTGGATTAGACCTGAACATGGTGTGTTCTAAATATACATACTGGAATGACACAGTTCACACATCGAATGAGCGATTAAGCATTAAAATCGTCCACTAATGCTGGAAGTCTGTCCTCTTTGTTCCTATGCAGACACTGAGTGTAGTGTGCAGTTAGTAACGGACGTTTGGTGGATTTTGTTGAGGACAATATTCACAAATACTTAATACTATAAAAGAGAAGGGGGACATGCCCCCC